CTGCTGACGGGGACTCCCTCTGACAGAACCAGGGTGTTTCCCCAGTGTCGGAGGTCTGCTCTCACAGAGGGAGGGACAGTGATCATCCGTCTCTTTTGTTTTACTGGATCCACACGCAGACGCGCAAACCACCTCTGGAGGCGTCTCATGTGTAACAAACCCAGCGGGACCACTGTGTGAGCTGATGACATCATTCCCAACAGCTTCATGACGGAAACAGCTGTTACCACTTTGCCAGGTCTTACGTGGCGTAGTTGGGTTTTTAGAGTGTCGATTCTTGTTTGTGATAAGCGAGCCGTCATGGTAATTGAATTTAATTCCACTCCCAGATAAACAATTGTCTGGGCCGGGAAAATCGAGCTTTTCTTCCAATTTATGGCGAAGCCCAGATTTAACAGGTGTGATGCCAACACCTGAGCCTGTATCAGCGCTTCCTGTCTGGAGTGAGACAGGAGCAGCAAGTCGTCCAGGTAAAACAAAACTCTCATCCCTGCTCTGTGCAACGGATGCAGGGCTGTCTCCACACACTTTGAGAACGTACGAGGCGCGAGGGAATACCCGAAAGGCAGCCTGTTGTACTGGTACTTCATCCCTTGAAAGGCGAAACGCAGAAATTTTCTGTGTTTTGGGATGATTGGTATGTGAAAATAAGCATCTTTTAGATCGATGGAAACAAACCAGTCGTTTATCTGGATGTTGTCCAACAGCTGTCTGTTCGTCAACATGTGAAACGGTCTGTTCATGATCGCTTTGTTGAAAGCTGACAGATCCAGAATCGGTCTCATCCCTCCGGTCCTTTTGGGGACCAGGAAGTAGCGTGAGTAAAACCCTGTGTTTTGCTCCTCGTTGGGAACTCTTGAGATTACACCTTTTATCAGAAGCTCTTGGACTTCTGCATTTAAGGCTGAGACTTGGTCTGGTGATGACAGGACCGTCTCTATAACTCCTCCGAACGGAGGGGGTCGGGTTGCAAACTGCAGCGTGTAACCCTTGCATAACACTCTGTCCATCCATCTGTCCGGCGAACAGGTTTTTAGCCACTCTGCGTAACGTTCGTGGAGTGGACGTGCGTTTAAATGATGTGCCGTGTTTTGAACGGATGTCATCCAATCCTCCGCCTCGACCGCCGTCATGCGTCGCGGAAATGTTTTCCGCGTGACCCAAGGCGAGGCTTCCTCGAAAGGGCTGTTCTGCGCGCGCCCGTGCGCTGTGTCTGGATCGCGGACCAACCTTCATGTCCGGGCGGGGCGGTGTGTGCTGAGGCGAGGCGTGTGTCAGCTGATGACGTCGTGAGGCTGCACGTTTAACGTCGCTGTGCGAACGTTGAGAGGTGGAGGGCGTGACGTCATCAACGCCGTGCTGTCGAAGTGAAGGTTGTGAGCCTCGCGGGAGCGCACGTTTTCTCTGGAGGGACGCGCGCCGCTCTCGCTGAGGGCGGGGCCCGTCATTGGATTCATTCAGCTGTCTCACGCTTATGCCGCCGTGAGCTGCTGATCGCTGAGACGCGATGGATGACGGCCGCTCGCGTTCGCTCAGGAGAGGCGTGTGTTGTTTTCGCTGAGAGCGGGGACCTCCACCGGACCCAGCCTGCGGTCCCACATTTATCCCGATGTGAGCCGGTGAGCGCCGGGCAGCTGTGCGTGCATCATCAACACAGCGCCGTTTGGATGGGGGCTGTTTGCCTCGCTCGGGTGCGCGTTTAACACCGCTTGGGTGGTGATCGTGCGGTTCTGATTGACAACAAGTTATTTCGCTTACCGTGGTGTCACGTGAGCGTCTGGGCATGTGATGGAGCGACGGTGGATTTAAAAAACCTTTAATTAAGGACACCGGCTCATGTGTGGAGGCTGTTCTGTGATCGACTCGTCATGTCTTAGAGCGACGGTGAGTTTAAAAACCTTTATTTAAGGACACCGGCTCGTGTGTGGGGCTGTTCCATCCCACGGGTGCGAGTTGACATCGCTTGGGTGAAAATCGTGCAGCCCGGGATTATAACGAGTTATTTTCACTTACCATCGTGCCCTGTAAGCGACTAGTAATGTCTTGGAGCGGCGGTGAGTTTAAAAACCCTTATTAAGGACACCGGCTCTTATGTGTGCGGCCGCTGTGAGCTCATCCGAGCTTACAGACTGGCTAAAAAACAGACACTTTGATCATTAATGATGATTTATTTCAACTTTCGTGTCACTTTACACACACCCTCCGGAGACCGTCATTTTGAGAAACTTCTCTCTCATGAGCTCTGCCATTGTTTGCCCAGAGCGCTGTCTTGCAGGCGAACTCTGGGGAAACGCTGAGCTGCAGGCTGCCGGAGTGAAGAGGGCTGGATTCTGACGGGCGGGGCTGGTGGTGGAACTCAGCGAGAGCCGCGGCCGTGGAAAAGTCGAAGCTTGCTCGCGACGGTCCCTCCAGCGGGACGGGGTGGGCCGCGCGGCTTGATGAGGTGGCGCACAGCCTCTGGCATCTCCTCCGACTGTTTCACTTCGCCAGCATGGTTTGAAG